GTGCCAGTAAATCATAGTTGTAGGTGTGCCAGTAAATCTAGTTGTAAGTGTGCCAGTAAATCATAGTTGTAGGTGTGCCAGTAAATCATAGTTGTAGGTGTGCCAGTAAATCTAGTTGTAAGTGTGCCAGTAAATCATAGTTGTAGGTGTGCCAGTAAATCATAGTTGTAGGTGTGCCAGTAAATCATAGTTGTAGGTGTGCCAGTAAATCTAGTTGTAAGTGTGCCAGTAAATCATAGTTGTAGGTGTGCCAGTAAATCATAGTTGTAGGTGTGCCAGTAAATCATAGTTGTAGGTGTGCCAGTAAATCTAGTTGTAAGTGTGCCAGTAAATCATAGTTGTAGGTGTGCCAGTAAATCATAGCTGTAGGTGTGCCAGTAAATCATAGCTGTAGGTGTGCTAGTAAATCATAGCTGTAGGTGTGCCAGTAAATCATAGCTGTAGGTGTGCCAGTAAATCATAGCTGTAGGTGTGCCAGTAAATCATAGTTGTAGGTGTGCCAGAAAATCACAGTTGTAGGTGTGCCAGTAAATCATAGCTGTAGGTGTGCCAGTAAATCATAGCTGTAGGTGTGCCAGTAAATCATTGCTGTAGGTGTGCCAGTAAATCATAGCTGTAGGTGTGCCAGTAAATCATAGCTGTAGGTGTGCCAGTAAATCATAGTTGTAGGTATGCCAGAAAATCACAGTTGTAGGTGTGACAGTAAATCATAGCTGTAGGTGTGCCAGTAAATCATAGTTGTAGGTGTGCCAGTAAATAATCTCTTCACCGTCTTCTTGGTCTGTTTCGTGGACTACTCTCCATTCAACTGCTTTATGTACGTAGCGTTTGTCTCTATTATCATCCATACTCTTTCTGTGCCCTTAGACATCTAAGTCTTTTAGCCCTTTTGGGGCCATTCATTTGTAGTGATTACAACAAACCACCACTTTGATCGTGAGAAGGAGAAATCTGAGTACATCGTGACAGTAGGAAACTTGGAAGAGAAAAGAGGCAGAGGGAGACAGAGAGAGAAGATGCTGAACAGTTTGACATCGTGGCATGGGAGATCATCTGTGTCAGATCGGCTTGCAGGTACCTAAGACAGAAGGTTGTGGATAGACAGGACTATCAACGCCACATGGAATGGACCAAATTATAAAATCAGTGAGAACATTCTACATACAAAATAAACATAAATAGGAAATAGCTAACATAGCTTAAAGTATAACAGTTAAAAATTGCATTTTTATCACAAGAACACTGGAGTACAAATCTGCCTCTCTGCAAGATACGCAGAAAATCGTCCAGAATTTCTGCAGTCAATTCTTTGTGAGCTTAATTTCATCGCTCCTTCACTTTACGCCATCTTGATTGTCAGTTCTACCACCTTTCTGCCGATCACGAATTTTGACCAAACCACACCCACTCTCATTCATTGGCGAAAACCGTATATTTTTCTGGTTATCGACTCCACTGATATTACATTTAGTATGTATTAAAAATGTCAATCAAAGATAGAGCTGTGAATAGGGGTGTACTTTCTATGAATCAAGATGTAACGAATTATCAAGGATAAATACGATCACTGTCTGTTATTCAGACAGACACTTGTAGACATTTCTGCACTCTGTCTATTTCTAGCAGGCCTTGCGTCTTGCTATAAACAATAGAACTGTATGTTTGTCTGAATACTGCCCTGTTACAAGAAAATTAACTGTCTTATTGCTGACGTCAAGGGAAATCCCCAGACAGCACTAATATAGATTTTAATGAATAATTTTAGCATGATTTGTTGATAGAGGTGAAGACTTGCGGTTGTCTGATCGCTGATTGCAACCGGAACAGGAAAAGTATTAGCAGCAGCAAGCAGCAGCCAGTAGCAACAGCAAGCAGCAGCAAGCAGCAGCAGCAGCGGCAGCAGCAGCAGTAGCAGTAGCAGTAGTAGTATTAGTAGTAGTAGCAGCAGCAGCAGCAGCAGCAGCAGCAGCAGCAGCAGCAGCAGCAGCAGCAGCAGCAGCAGCAGCAGCAGCAGCAGCAGTAGTAGTAGTAGTAGTAGTAGTAGTAGTAGTAGTAGTAGTAGTAGTAGTAGTAGTAGTAGTAGTAGTAGTAGTAGTAGTAGTAGTGAGGCAAAGATCGCCCCTAAGTTGATACTTCCTTTAACCTGCGAACGGTTAAACCCTTCACAAATTCTAGACAAAAACTTATTAGACGAGAAAGCTGATTAACTTTCTCGTTACCGTTCTGTCCCAAGAACACAATGTTACAATTTAAAATGTTTACAAAGCACACAAACGGAAACTTTCTTGTTGTTTGCACTTCGCTTCCATACAGCTAAGCTCACAGTGAGCGCAAGGGGGAAAAACCATCACGGAGATGAATAGCGCCTTTGCTGTTACAACAAGAAGCAACACAAAGGAAACTGTGGCTGTAACAAAAGGATTAACATGGTTGGGCACTCAAGAGTTCACACAGGCGTGCATACTTAGTGACTCGATGAATATGCTTAACAAAATCCAGGCTGAGTTCAACACACAGGAAGAGAATATATCAATAAGCACTTGGCGAATGGCAGGCCTAACAATGTTTGTGCGAGGTATGCAGATGATAGAGGCAACGAGTGTGCAGATTATCTCGCTGACACTGCTGTTGTTATGGCTGGTCTGGTTCTGGACAGAAGTGATGTTATCAATGCCATGAGCAGCACTTATCGTGACGACCAGCACGCCAAAGGACATGACTCCGCATCCCTGTCTGGACAGAAGTGATGTTATCAATGCCATGAGCAGCACTTATCGTGACGACCAGCACGCCAATGGACATGACTCCGCATCCCTGTCTGGACAGAAGTGATGTTATCAATGCCATGAGCAGCACTTATCGTGACGACCAGCACGCCAAAGGACATGACTCCGCATCCCTGTCTGGACAGAAGTGATGTTATCAATGCCATGAGCAGCACTTATCGTGACGACCAGCACGCCAAAGGACATGACTCCGCATCCCTGTCTGGACAGAAGTGATGTTATCAATGCCATGAGCAGCACTTATCGTGACGACCAGCACGCCAAAGGACATGACTCCGCATCCCTGTCTGGACAGAAGTGATGTTATCAATGCCATGAGCAGCACTTATCGTGACGACCAGCACGCCAAAGGACATGACTCCGCATCCCTGTCTGGACAGAAGTGATGTTATCAATGCCATGAGCAGCACTTATCGTGACGACCAGCACGCCAAAGGACATGACTCCGCATCCCTGTCTGGACAGAAGTGATGTTATCAATGCCATGAGCAGCACTTATCGTGACGACCAGCACGCCAAAGGACATGACTCCGCATCCCTGTCTGGACAGAAGTGATGTTATCAATGCCATGAGCAGCACTTATCGTGACGACCAGCACGCCAAAGGACATGACTCCGCATCCCTGTCTGGACAGAAGTGATGTTATCAATGCCATGAGCAGCACTTATCGTGACGACCAGCACGCCAAAGGACATGACTCCGCATCCCTGTCTGGACAGAAGTGATGTTATCAATGCCATGAGCAGCACTTATCGTGACGACCAGCACGCCAAAGGACATGACTCCGCATCCCTGTCTGGACAGAAGTGATGTTATCAATGCCATGAGCAGCACTTATCGTGACGACCAGCACGCCAAAGGACATGACTCCGCATCCCTGTCTGGACAGAAGTGATGTTATCAATGCCATGAGCAGCACTTATCGTGACGACCAGCACGCCAAAGGACATGACTCCGCATCCCTGTCTGGACAGAAGTGATGTTATCAATGCCATGAGCAGCACTTATCGTGACGACCAGCACGCCAAAGGACATGACTCCGCATCCCTGTCTGGACAAAAGTGATGTTATCAATGCCATGAGCAGCACTTATCGTGACGACCAGCACGCCAAAGGACATGACTCCGCATCCCTGTCTGGACAGAAGTGATGTTATCAATGCCATGAGCAGCACTTATCGTGACGACCAGCACGCCAAAGGACATGACTCCGCATCCCTGTCTGGACAGAAGTGATGTTATCAATGCCATGAGCAGCACTTATCGTGACGACCAGCACGCCAAAGGACATGACTCCGCATCCCTGTCTGGACAGAAGTGATGTTATCAATGCCATGAGCAGCACTTATCGTGACGACCAGCACGCCAAAGGACATGATTCCGCATCCCTTTCTGGACAAAAGTGATGTTATCAATGCCATGAGCAGCACTTATCGTGACGACCAGCACGCCAAAGGACATGACTCCGCATCCCTGTCTGGACAGAAGTGATGTTATCAATGCCATGAGCAGCACTTATCGTGACGACCAGCACGCCAAAGGACATGACTCCGCATCCCTGTCTGGACAGAAGTGATGTTATCAATGCCATGAGCAGCACTTATCGTGACGACCAGCACGCCAAAGGACATGACTCCGCATCCCTGTCTGGACAGAAGTGATGTTATCAATGCCATGAGCAGCACTTATCGTGACGACCAGCACGCCAAAGGACATGACTCCGCATCCCTGTCTGGACAGAAGTGATGTTATCAATGCCATGAGCAGCACTTATCGTGACGACCAGCACGCCAAAGGACATGACTCCGCATCCCTGTCTGGACTGACGGACATGGGGATGTAGTCTGGAGCTGCAAGAAATGAAAAATTTCACTAAGAGGACAAGACGTTTCATTAACCAACAAAGAACAGGCGTCATCAGTCGTTTTACAATTGTGGAGCTTTTGAGGTGGAGTTCGGAGCACCTATGGATCTGTTCCGAGTGCTGTGATCATAATTCTCAATAATTACTAATCGACACAGCGAGGTACACACAGGTCAAGATTAAAAAAGACAGGCAGAATTACTTGGCAGAGTCGTGATAGCCAATACCAGTTGCAGACATATTTAAAGAAGGTGATGATGCTGATAATCATACTGACAATAACCACAACAACTAAAACGACTACAATTGCCTATGATTTCTGTTTGTAATGTCTGGTTTATTTTCCCCAGTCGACACCGGAAGCCTACCTATGACAGTGCTGATTGTCATGTTGGTACTGATATCTGTACTACTTTTTCTGGCTGTCTTTTTGCTTCTACACCGGTACCGCAGTAAGTAATTTGTGTGTGTGATGAATACATTTAAATGATAAATACAAGTATAGACAACATGCATTTTAAATTATTGTACTTTTTGTTGTAGAAAATATTGCAGTTCCTTTTGGTTTTTCTAGGCAAATTTATGGCTGTTGCGTGGTTTTTCTAGGCAAATTAACGTCCAGTAGTTTGACATTGCTTCTAGACGGTTGGCTTTCTTGATACCACTGTCGAAACCAACACAAGGCGCATGGCCCGCAGCTGGGATCGAACCCGGCACCCCGGCATTACGAAGAGTTCGCATCAACTTAGCAACAGAGCCGACATATACTGCTTTAGTCTGTCTTATTTTGGGTACTGTTTTCACATTACAGCTTTTATTCACAGTCGATTCAAGAGGTTTCATTGCTAACTATTTTACGATGAGGCACTTGAATATCAGGAAATTAAATGAATTGTTCAACATCCCACATTCGAACACCTGCCACCGTTAAAGAACACAAGCTTTCTTCAATAGTCAATACCATTATAGCTAAGATTAATTACTAAAAACACCCGGTGTGTAGCAGTGATATTCCAAACTAACGGTTACATGGGCCTTGAAACTTGACGTAATACGCAAATTTGATTACGGTGCACAAACGATTGATTTAAAAAAGAAATCTAGTCAAACATAGACCCTATTTTGCCTTCGCTTGCTTGCAGAACGGAAGGTGGTGGGTTGGCGTCCTGAAGGAGTCTGAGTTTAGGAAATAACCTTGACTCCCAGGTGAACCTAGCCTAGAGTGGGTACCAGGTGCTGTCCTGGGAAGTAAAGGCGAGCGTTGTGATGCTGACCACATCACCCAGCAAGTCCCGATTGGTCTATAAAATGTATAGGTCCAGCCCTTTATTCCCGATACGTCTAAAGGCTTGGAAAAGGGACCTTTATTATATTTGCCTACCATCTGATCAATATTTACTTATGCATGTGTTTATAAGCCCCAGAGTCTAGGGGTGGGCGGGAAGAGGGGGGGGGGGTACAGGTGTTTTTGAGCCCCTTTCCCCGGTGAGGAAGTGGTTGGCAGCCCCCCCCCCCCATTGCCCCATGTTTCCTTCGTGGCGGGACGCTTGCACGATTTTTGTTATTGGCGGACAGTTAGTGCCCCCCCCCCCCCCCAATCACAACCACTGGAAATTTACAGGGAGTTTAAAAGGTCTCTCTGTGTAGACGTTGTCTGCTTACGTTCTATCAGCTGACTAAACTAACCTTACCTAAACTAACCTAACCTAACATAAATAACCTAAACTAAACTAAACTAACCAAACTAACTCTTCATATTATTTCAAATACTTTGTTATATTTATTTGCTATTCACCACACAATAATCCTATTTTTATTATTATTGCCATCTTAAATAAGGCTTCAGCCCATTGAGCACCCTCTACCCCACTAATCTGCAGTAGTAGCAGATCAAACATGTATCATCATCCAGCTGTAAAACCACATCTGCGCGGCCCCAAGATATTGTTCGGCTTGTTTATTAATTGTCCAGGATTCATTCACGACCGTATGTTAAAACTTGCTCTATATAGCTTGCGAGAAATCTTTTCTTAGCATCCAATTACATGGATTTATTGCACAAAAAGTTCATTTTATAAAATGCAGTTTTTGCCTGTCCTGTTCTGATCTTTATCTATGTGAAACATCTTCCGTTGGAAATTGTCCATGTGCCTTGATGTCTCTACGTGTAAAATAAAAACACCTTTGACTTTTATCATACATTTAGGCACTTTTATTTTCCATTGTATTACCATCACTTGTGTCTTCCCATTATTCAAACCGAGGCCGATTTGTTTTGTGTTTCTCTAACATTACTTTACTGATTTATCTGTAGTAGTAGCTGAAACATTACATTACTTTACTGATTTATCTGTAGTAGTAGCTGAAACATTACATTACTTTACTGATTTATATGTTGTAGTAGCTGAAACATTTCATTACTTTACTGATTTATCTTTAGTAGCAGCTGAAACATTACATTACTTTACTGATTTAACTGTAGTAGTAGCTGAAACATTACATTACTTTACTAAATTATCTGAAGTTGTAGCTCAAACATTACATTAATTTACTGATTTATCTGTAGTGGTAGCTGAAACATTACATTACATTACTGATTTATCGGTACTAGTAGCTCAAACATTACATTACTTTACTGATTTATCGGTAATAGTAGCTGAAACATTACATTACTTTACTGATTTATCTGTAGTAGCTAAAACATTACATTACTTTACTGATTTATCTGTAGTAGTAGCTAAAACATTACATTACTTTACTGATTTATCTGTAGTAGTAGCTAAAACATTATATTACTTTACTGATTTATCTGTAGTAGTAGCTAAAACATTATATTACTTTACTGATTTATCTGTAGTAGTAGCTGAAACATTATATTACTTTACAGATTTATCTGTAGTAGTAGCTGAAACATTATATTACTTTACTGATTTATCTGTAGTAGTAGCTGAAACATTATATTACTTTACTGATTTATCTGTAGTAGTAGCTGAAACATTATATTACTTTACTGATTTATCTGTAGTAGTAGCTGAAACATTATATTACTTTACTGATTTATCTGTAGTAGTAGCTAAAACATTATATTACTTTACTGATTTATCTGTAGTAGTAGCTGAAACATTATATTACTTTACTGATTTATCTGTAGTAGTAGCTCAAACATTACATTACTTTACTGATTTATCTGTAGTAGTAGCTCAAACATTACTTCATCCAACTTCTAGGTCGATGCCAGAGCCGAGACGAGGACTTGTACCGACCGCCTGCCTACTGCCTGGCCCCAGACCATCATCTGGACTGGGTGGAGAACGGGTCCAGCATGAAGAGCAAGGGATCGGCCAGGACACTGAATTCCAGGAGTCACTATAGCATCGCCGCACATCATTTACACATGCCGCTACCTCCGATACCACAGTCCAACGTGCCCAGGAGAGGCAAAAGTAAATATGTTCTCGTCGTTTCTATTCTATCTTCTGTGTATAGTGGTAGCAGTAGTAGCTGTAGTATTAGTATGAGTAGTAGCAGTGGTGGTAGTAGTAGTAGTAGCGGTAGTAAACAGTAGCACTAGCAGTAGTAGTAATAGCAGCAGCAGCAATAGCAATAGCAATAGCAGCAGTAGTCGCAGTAATAGTAGTAACAGCAGCATCAACAGGAACAGTAGTAGGGGTGGTGATGTTGGCAGTAGCAGCAGCAGTAGTATTTGTTGCTGTTGTAGCAGCAACGGAAGCATGAGTTGAAGTAATTGTAGCAGCAGCAGCATTACCAGTTGTTATATTACTAGTGTTTTTGGGCTAGAGTGTTTTTAAGTCCATAGACAGCGTGTCCTAAAATCCTAGGCTAGAGTGTCTTAAAGTAAAAAAACAGCGTGTCCTAAACTCTTAGGCTATAGTGTCTTAAAGTACAAAAACAGCGTGTCCTAAAATCTTAGGCTATAGTGTCTTAAAGTACAAAAACAGCGTGTCCTAAAATCTTAGGTTAGAGTGTCTTAAAGTAAAAAAACAGCTTGTCCTAAAATCTTAGGCTATAGTGTCTTAAAGTACAAAAACAGCGTGTCCTAAAATCTTAGGCTATAGTGTCTTAAAGTACAAAAACAGTCCTAAAATCTTAGGCTAGAGTGTCTTAAAGTACAAAAACAGTCCTAAAATCTTAGGCTATAGTGTCTTAAAGTACAAAAACAGTCCTAAAATCTTAGGCTAGAGTGTCTTAAAGTACAAAAACACGTGTCCTAAAGGCCCAGGCTAGTGTTTTTGAAACTACCAGGATAGAGTGTCTTAGAGTTATAGGTTAGAGTGTCTTAAAGTCAAAGGATAGTGTCTTCAATTCCTTGCAATGAGTTTTTTAATGTACTAGGGATCTTCTTACACTTTTTTTTTTTTAAATTTACTTTGGCTGTCGAGAGAGAGAGAGAGAGAGGTGGTTCTGCTGGTTCTGCTTCGTGCTCTAAGGCCGCCTCGACCCTATACACATCGTCCTGTTGTGTAGAGTTCTCTGATGTTTTCTTTCCATCTTGTTCTTGTCTACCTTGTGATCTATATCCTTTTGGGTGTATACTTTGTATGGTATGGTGTCAAAAACCTTTCTTTCGAAGTGGATAAACCATTTGATTTACTGTCGTCGCATGTAATTTAGAATTGGTTCTATGCCGACTTGTTTTCTTATGATCTGATTCCTGACTGTATTTCTCCTTGTCACTCTTGTAGCCCTTCTCAGACTTATTTCCATGGGTTGCACTATGGTTAAGTTTTTCACAATAAAACGACAATCTTAGGATAATCTTAGAATACATTGACTCGATGAGTATGCTAAGAAAGATAGAGAAGGGCTGGGTCCGAAGGCAAGTGGTTGGTGGCTCTACAGAATTCATGACCGACAAGGATTAGCTTCAATTTCGGGGGTATAAGGAAATGAGCAAGCTGATAGGCTTGCAGGTAAGGCTGCTGTGAAAGCCGGACAAGCCATGGACTAGGCTGATATACTAAATTCTCTAAGAGAGTTAAGATGTTTGCGTGAACCAACTGAGAACTGTGAATCTGCAACCATGGTCAGACTGCAAAAACAACATGTTAAACAGGGTGTCGCCAAACAATAACACTACGCGGGTAGCCAAAGAAGAACAATAAACCAAAGCACAACTGGTGTCGTTAGCCGCTACACGCTGGGGGATTACTGAGGTGGGGATCCGAGCCCTTATGGACTGAGTGGTTCGACGTGAAATGAGGATAATATGTTGACTAACTAATTAACTATAATCTTAGAATAAAGCAAACATTATTATGGGGTCTACTGACTAATGCCTTATTTTTCACGCCTTTATTTTTCACAGCATACAGGAGACCTCCATCTGTGGGAAGCAGCGTCAAGGTGCCCTACGTCCAGCCCCAAGACGCCATTGGTCAAGAGTCCAGCGAGGATGGAGAAATTACTGCGCTCAGCTCCGGAAGTCCAAAAGTTCATTATAAGTCACCGCGTGATCGTCCGACTAGACAAAACAGTCCTCTGTATGCCTGCGTTCCTGTTAGTTCCACAGATGAATAACAACTTGGCAGTTTGAGTTACTTCTCATGTGCATAGTTTCTCGTCCAAATAACTGCACTTATGTATAAGGGGTTTTCAAAAGAAAATCTCAACAGATTGATATAAACTTCAATAACCAAACAATTGTCTTAAACACCTGTCAGTATTGTTGTAAAGGATGTCAAGAGTGTTGAGCATGGGACATCACTGTGCAGACACATAGGATAGTGTTTTAATGATAGTTTAAAGATGGTCACTCTACTTTTGACAGTCCTAGTACTGATAAAATAGTAGAATAGATTGTCTTAAAATTTTAGAACAAAGTGTCTTAAAACTTCTAGGATAGAATGTCTCAAAGACACAGAATAAAGTGAGTTAAAGTCAAAAGTATAGAGTGTCTTGAAGTCCTAGGACACAGCGTCCTAAAGTTCTGAAAAAAAAATGTTTCTGTAAGCATTAGGGTAAACTATTTGACGACTTTCTCATATTGTTCATTTGCATAAACATGCCTCGGTATTGTCTATCTATCATTCCTCTTGTGCTGTAGTGCCATTTATGCTGTCTGTTTCTCCGTTGCATTCTAACTCATGCAGTGCTTATGATATCATGGATGTAACCCAGTTCATAGATAGTCCTTCTTCTTCTTTCGTTCGCCTGAAATAAGTTATCTATATTAGCATTTTTGTCTCTTGTATAAATTTCACTGTCGTTGTTAGTTCATTCAGTGGTCCATAGAGTTTACGTTCCACTGTTGTTCTTTCTGGCCAAAAGGTTTGCCTTAATGTGTCAAAATCAGTGCAGTCCTGGAGTACATGCTCTGCGGTCTGGGGCACATTTCCACAGGTGCACATGGCTGATACACCTATCTTGAATTTTGTGTACATGTGGTTACGTAATCGGTTGTGCCCTGTTCTGAGGCGGAAGATAATGACTTGTTCTGGTCTGTCCATAATAAAATAGTCTTGTGCTGGGGCTGGTGGTTTCCTGATCGATTTAATGATTCTTTTCTTTTGGTGGTATGTGACTGGTACATCTGGCTGCTCTTTTGTCGCACCTTCCCCTGCCAGTTGATCAGCTTTCTCATTTCCAGGCACTCTACAATGAGACGTTATCCACTGCATTACGACTCTTCGCTGAACGCTGAGTTGTGTCAGCAGTGTTTGCAATTCTGGTAGTTTCCTAGACTGGAGTGCTTCAAGTACTGATTTAGCATCTGTAAGCATTACCACATACTGTGAGCCAAGGTTGGTATTTAGCAGTTTCTCTGTAGCTATCTTAATAGCCTGGGTTTCTGCATCGTAGTTATGGCAGTACTTCCCGGTTGGTACGCTGGACTTATCCCTAGTACCATCTGGGAATTCGATGTACACTCCAGCACCACCATTTCTAACTGCACTTTCTGCGGACCCATCTGTATAGACTGACCCATTGTTCTTGTGGGTATTCTTCATCAATATAACTGAGGGTGGCCATTTTGCGTTGTACACTATCTTGCTCTTTCTTGTCAAATATCCCTTTCACATTTGTCTGGATTTGTACCGTTAGTTTACATTTTTCTCTCCATGGGGTTTGTTCCGGAATACTTTTAAGTGGGCAGCCAATTTCTGGAAGGTCAGGAGTTTGTCTACATATTCTTTTTGCTTGGTGTATAAAGCTGCTTCTTTTTAACCGTCCCAAGGCTAGGTTCTTAAATCTATTTTCCATCGGGTGATCTGGCAAATTTGAGGTACTTTTCAGCTTGTGTTTGCAACTTTGTATCTCTGCGTTCTCTCAGTGCCTGTGTTTTCCCAGCTTTCTCCATTTCTAATATGGGGGTTGATTTCATCCCTCCTGTGATGACTCTGAGCGCTTGATTTTGCACTTTGTCTAACTCCTTTAATGTGGTACTAGATGCTGAACACCATGCAGTTGACCCATATTCCAAGTGTGGAAGTATGCTCTGCTTGTATACTTTATTGAGTATTTTCCCATCTGCTCCCCATGTGGTTCCACTTAGTTTTCTTAGTATTGCTGTCTTCCTCCTGGCTTTGGTTGCTGCCTTGTTGATATGTTTTCTCCATGTCAACCTGTCATCAAATGTGACTCCTAGGTATGTGGGCTCTTTATCATCTCTCAGAGGTATTTCGTTTATTTTGATGGTGCCGGCTTTTTGCTTTGGGAGAGGGTGAATAGTGTGGTGCTACATTTGTCTGTGTTGATACTGACACACCATCTATTGGCCCATGCCTCAAGTGCATTTGTAGCCCGCTGTAGTGTTTTTGTGGCTATCGTTGCATGTTCATTGGTGCACCACAGTACCAGGTCGTCGGCATACATTGCCATTTTGATTCCATTTGGAATCAGATAGTCCTTATAACTGAGCTGTCAGCTCAGGGGGTTCTCTTAGATAAACTGAGATGGGCTCCTAACTTTTCTAATGTCAAACAGAGCCTTATCCAATACTTATGAACAAATCCTCCCCCCCCCCCCCCTTCCAATCCCCCAGGTTTTTTCATCCCTCCTACTCTTTTTTAAATGTTCGTGGGCAAAGTATATCATGTTGGACTTGTTCAAGGCTGATTAACCAACATTTATCTTAATGTCCAGTGGCTATCACATGAGGCTTCAGAGAAGACTTTCCATGCTTTTCCTGTCCTGTGCAATTTTCTGTGCAGTTGTCCATGTCAAAGATGCCGCACTCAGATCACTTTCCATCGTTCGTCTCCATGTTGTTTTTGGGCGCCCCTTTTTTCTCTTTCCCTCTGGTGTCCATGTGAGAGCTGTCTTGGCAGGTATATCAGGATTCATTCTAATAACACGGCCAAGCCATTTCCATCTTCTCTTTGTTATTGCTGATTGGTTCTGCCAATAATGTTTTCAATGACAGGAGGTTGGCAAACCACGAACCAGTCATCTTTGAAATTACAATTGTCCAAATTTGGATTTGAATATGTCACTTTTCAAGTTATATGCTAGCGTCTGAGCCCCAAGACATGTGGGTTTTGTGTCATAGAGTTATTATGTTTGATACACTAGTCATAATGTACATTCAATGGCTTAATTTTGTGCATGTTTTGTGTGGGAATTCTCTCAAATGTTTGTGTGTGATTGTGTGTGTTTGATTAATGACGTGAATGTTAGCCTGTCTGAGTGTGACATTGAATGATTCATTGACTGAATAGGATACTGTGTAACTACTTGATTGGTCCAGCATTTTATTATATAACATTATTGATTTATTAATTAGTATACTTTTTAACTGATAAGTTCATTAATTCACTGGTTGAAATGTGTGTTGATTGATTGATTGGTTCATAAATTGATTAATTTCTTTACTGACTGGGTGTAACCAGAGGGTCTTGCCGGCTAACTACACTCAGAGGAAAGGCAAGACGGACGTATAACCAGATTGTGACCGGTACCATCAGTGCTGGAACTCTGCGCTGGCTGCTGAAGATGAGGATGGAGCACGCATGGGAATGCCCCGAGTGCTGTGATGTCAATTCTTGACTCAACTTGAATTTATGACTGAATAACTGAATTCATGGAAAATATTTACTAAATTGTCACACTGCGTATTATTGCCCCGACCCTCCATCAGACGATACTGGGGAAAGTCCCTGACTGACTGACTGACTTTCTACCCCACCAGGACATCACACAAGCGATATGAAGATCACCGTGGAGAGGTCCCAGAAACCGCGTTCAGACATTTGGCCATAATGATGACCTGCCTATATTGCGGCCCCTGGCAAAAGCTAGAGTGGGGCTTCAAATAACAAAAAATTACGTCCTGAAAAGGACGTAAAGAGCACTATGAATAAGGAAAGTCCCTAGCTCGGTGAACTAACTCTGTGTCAACAACAAGAACTGCTTTCAGTGTCCATAATCCATACATATTAATGACACTTGCAAACACTGTACTCTGTTGTGCTTAGTTTTGTTGTTGTTGTTGTAATTTTGCTATTGCTGCGGCCAAAAACTGTCTACATATTTCAGTTTCCTACATCCAAGAGTGATTCCTAAGCTCCTGAACTCGTAACTGTGAATTGTTATGTGGTCGTTGTCTACATCTAATTTAACCCAGGAAGATAAGGGGATATAATGCATTCTTAGAATATTTATGGGAGAACATTAGACTACCTTACCTCCCTTCGTTTCCGGAAACCGTTGCCACATTTCGTAACGGAGGTGCTGCAACCAGGTTGAGGGCCCCCACGCCCCAAATACCCCACTATTTAAATAATATTTCGGTGTGGGCTGCACAACACTGCTTTAACCTTCTCCTCTCGAATAATTGCAGCTGGTTTAAGTGACATCTTATAATTCCAACTGGATTAAGTGACATCTTATAATTGCAGCTGGATTAGGTGACATCTTATAACTGCAACTGGATTAAGTAACATCTTAACTATGTATGGCAGGTTATTGATGTGATTGAGCTCCCAGGTGCCGTAGTTTACGGTCGAGCCTGATTGCTACAGACCTGTAAGTGACTTCTTTCCTAAAGTTTTCCAAACACCTTTAGCTGCAGTAATAAATTTTAATTTGATTAACTTGATAGTGACGGTCGGCTCAATGGCTAATTCGATGCGAACGCTTCGTAATGCCGGGGTGCCGGGTTCGATCACAGCTGCGGGCCATCCTTTTGCGTTAGTTTCGACAGTGGTATCAGGGGGCTGACCTTCCAGAAAGCAAGGGCAAACTACTGGACGTAAATTTGCCAAGAGAAACCACACAACAGCCAGGGGCTGCTGGGGTTGGTTCTGCAACGTCCTGTAAAGGATACGCAACTAACCTGACAGTGACGTGACCTGCTCACCTCCCATGGTTTAATTACACACTTAATTGCTAAAAGGCAAATCTCTGTCAATGAGTTAATTAGTTGAGTGAATTATTTTATGTGGTTTCTTGTTATTTTTGTGAAAACTATTTTGTGACTTATACCATGTGATATTTGTGTTATGGTTTGTAATATTGTTTATTATGTTGGTATATAGGAGTCTTTGAGGAAGAGATGTAAGACACCCAGCTATCTTCTT